TACTCTGTGTGTATACACACACGCACGCACACACACACACATTAATATATGTGGTGCATTATATTAGCAATCATTGGAAATAAGGCATATGAAACTTGTTATGCATCTTGTGTTAGCGATAACGAGGAACATATTAAACCTATTTAACAACTTTCATAAATTTAATTTGGAACTGGATCAAATAGTGATTTTATTTATCGCGCATCGCTTGTGAATTCTTGTCTATACATCAGTTTCCATTAAATATAAAAAATATAATTATCTTGAAGATAACATCGTAGAAAGTATATGGTGTGAAATAAAGTTGCCTCAAACAAAATTTATGCTTATATGTTCTGCCCATATATTGCCCCCACCCACATTTGTAAAGTTGAGCTGATTTAAATAGTTCAGAATATGTTTGTGTACATTATGATAAAACAATATTAGTGTTTATTTTTAGTATAGATGTCCTACAAAGAAAATCATCCGAAATGGCTGGACAGTTTCAAATCATTCATTGCATGCAAGTCATAGACAAGCCCGCTAGCATCACAAAATATAGTTTAACTTAACTGACAATAAATGTTAGAAATAATAGTGAATTTTGTGAACCTGTGTTTTCAGTAGTTGATCACTGATGATAGTTAATTTTTTGTACCTGTGTTTTGAGTAAGTGATCACTATCCGGTATATATATATCATTAACATACGTGTCTAAACTTGCTATTAACCAACTTTGTGAAATGCGATAGAACGATTTAATGCTTGGTAATAATCATGTAGATAGTCCAGAGGCGTACACTGTTTTAGACCCATGGTATAAAACAAAACAAAAAACAGTTTGCCCACATATTCGATAATCATGCTCCTTCTATAAAAAAAAATATTAAAGAAGAGCTTCAACCAAAATAGATGACCAAAGACATAAGAAGCAGGACACAAAAGAGATATAATGAAGGACAGTGAAAACTAATCAATCAAAATGTCATACCACCTGATACATGAAGCAATTTAAATTATTATAATCAAGCTATTTAAAGTGCACCCAATACAAGCACGCTGTGACTTTAGTCCCTCCCTGAAGAAGACAAGACTCAACTGCAAATGTGCGGAGCATCAGATAGGCCTATATCTTCAGTCATTGCAAACAGAAATAATTACGTCTGCAAGAACACTGAACTAAATGATTACGAGTCCCTTCTAAATTATGTAAACGCTAAAGTTTCCACAGAACCTTTTCAATAATTAATGTAAGTGAATGCTGTGTATTCTATACCCTTGAGACACTAAATGTTCAAAACAAATCCACTAGATTTGATGAAATAGGTCCAAAAGCCTTCAAATTGCTTCACCTGTGCTATCTCAGTCTACAATTTACCTAATACAAATATCCATTTTGAAATTGTTTTCTTTTTCAGATAAATTGAAAGAATAAAAAGTAATCCCGATACATCAAAGGAAACTACATATATTTCTTTTATCCCTACATTATCTAAAATTTGAGAAATTAATTCTTAAGAAGCAAGATTATAAGTTTTAAATACATTTTTACTCTTTCAAAAAGAGCAATCGGGTTTTTCGCAACAAGAGTTATTCATACCAAAAGCCGTTGTAACTAAACTCGCAAACTACTGACTGCTGAAAGAAAGAATGCAAACCTAATAAGCTTATTTATATTTTCATTTCCTTTAGTCGATGAATTTTAGTAAAAAAATTTTATAAAATAATGCAATAAACTGGATCAATTTTCACGTAGTTTCTCAAAATGTTTCCCTAACATGACAACAATATTGATTTAGTAGATAAGGTTTTGATTTTCTAAGTTATAATGATATACATTTGATATTAATACAATAAACTGGCCCCTGTCAAGAATCTCATCAAAATGTGTCCTCAGATTGCATGTGATACATTTGACAACAGAGATTGTTAGTCAGCAGTAGAATTAATAGAAATGAAGAAAATACCTTTTGTTTTTAATATGTACGCCTTGCAATATGTTTTTCTTTTTGGCTCTATTTTTGTGTTGTTTTTTGTTTCTGTACAAAAAGCACTGAGCATTTCTTCAACTTTTAGGACATTCAAACCTAGTAAGTAAAACAATAATCTTTCTTTTTGATTATAAGTTATTGTGACATATTTGTACTCCTTGAATGTTCTGTGAAACAATTTCCAACATAGTACTAAGTTTTATACAAACATAAATCAATTTGAGGGAGAACATTTGAGATGTATCGTGAAAATGGAACCATGGTTTCATCATATTTATATGACAGACAGGACGCAAAGAGTCCCTATCGGAAATGCACAGTTTAGCGCAATGGAAAATACATATGGTCCCTTTTGGGTCAAGTATATGGTTCATTGTTCTTCGTTACTTTCATAGATGACCTCTCTCTATGGGTAGAGCGCCAAACATGCGGACTTATTTTTCAGATTATAGCACAATATTGTCTTCAGGTGGTGGTTCAATTACTGTCGAATCTCTGCAAGACTCCGATACGAGAAAATTGAGATGTGATCAAAATATAATATAGTTAGGGATGAAATATAAACAAATTGTTCAAAGTGTCAGATAAGAAGCATTTTACTTGTGAGAAACTTGTACATTTTGGCTTTAAAATGTTGATGCATCGAGAGAAAAAAATTAGTATGAAAAACTTGTAGAGTGATAGTTGAAAATGACTGAAAGATAACACAACACTAATGGGACCAATCTGATGTTAATGGATCCTACTGTAGGCCCCGATAAAACCATTAATATTTTTCTCGAATATTTCCAACAGATTTTGATAATAAGTGAATAATGTTACTTGCAATAAACAGAAAGCATTAGTAAAGCCTAAACCGTAAGCAAAATGCTTTCTGAGCTGCGAAGAATTACAAAGCAAAGATGTGTGATTTGGCCAATTCCGTAACAGGCATTTGTTTTGATGCTTTATTCAAATGCAATTATTTTACAAAATATACAGTAACCTTTTGCTGAATTCCCAATAGGCTGTGTCAAGGATTGTATTTAACATAAGTCACAGTCTTTGTGCATCTAAACTTATAACTAACAAAATGAATTTAATTTTTAAAACATTTTGGAAAATGAAGGAAATTTATATTGAACATTGTTACGTGACAAGGGCTTGTACACAGTAACAAAGAAAAGAGTGAAAGCCAACAAGCTTTGTATATTTTAACAAATAATGTATTATTTCCCTAGACAACATTGTAAAAATTAGTAAAAAGGACTTACAGTTTGTGATTCTAATCCAATATTTGATCCTAAAATTGAAAACACAAGTCCTATTACTAAATAGTCCTATTAGAATTCAGGTTTGAGTCCCGACGACGTACAAATACGGAAGGCGAAGACGTCGGATGTAGTCCAATGTATGAATATCAACAATTCCTCACTTGAATCACAGTCTTTGTTTCCGAATAATTCCAGAATAAATTTCCATGAATATCTTTCACAATTTTTATTTTAAAAAAGTCAACTTGTTGAATTTCCAGAAGAATAAATTATTAAATCCAAAAAAATCAGACGAAAAACAGAAAATCTTGGCAACAAATTAAGAAATACACCTTGTTCCTTCAAAGTGCTGAATGACTCTCCCCGAAAAATATTAGGATTGGGTACTTAAAACCCCAAAACTTCATTTTAAGTCTTGCGAGATTGGTCATGTGATCTCTTACTACACAACTTTAGCAAGTCCACTAATGTAACCCTACCTAAAAAACAATCATAAGAAAACGTTGTTTACCCATAGTGATTACGCAAAGAAAATATACCCCTGATACTGACCAATCATTTCAACATCCTGTTGACAATGTACCAGCCCAAGACGAACGAAAAATAATACTTTTGTTAATACTTTTTCGTCTTAAATAAACAAACTTTGTAAATAGAATCTCATTATTGAAAAATAAAGAATCTCGAATCCGACAAAATATTCATTGCAATAAAATACAATGAAACAAAAATGAAATAAAAGGAATTTTCAAACACACAATCAATTTAATCACATATACGTAACAACATAATCAGTGTAGTAATACCTTAAAGTGGGACACACATATTGGCATTCTGTACATCTCAAGACAGTAAGAAAACCTATGCTAAAAAAATTAAGAATGACCTACTCGTATATGCGAGTTTATTGTACTACGATGAAAACTTTTACCAGTTGTTGACTATTATTTGGTAACTTAGGGAAACTGCCCTCAAGAGTAATTTACAACGAATAAGCAAGATATATTTGAAAGGCGCTTGCCTAATTATGGATGCTCCTTTGGACACACCATCTAGTATTCTTTTCCAAGAACTAAAATGGTTTCAGATACCATAAAGTTCAATGGTGTATAACACGCCCGATTCTCCCATTTGCATGCCCTAAGAGGCAAATAAAGGAGAAATGAGCTGCGTTGACGCAGTGGTTAGATTGCAGGACTCGTGATCAAACGGGTTGGAATTCTAATCCTGTCAGCCCATGTCTGCTTCCGTGGAGCGTCTTTGAATATTTTCTTCATTTGCCTTAGTACTGGATAGCTTACTTGATGCATTGTATTGTGAAACACCCAACCATACCATCTAAAGTCCGAGCCTACTAACCATTGGTTTGTAAACCTTTCTCCACCGATTTCAATAACGGAAACCTTTAATTTGATAAAAAGTACAAAGAACTTAGTCAATTCATTCATTGATTTATATTGTCTAACCAAATTGTGAGTAGAACGGCCATAACATCGTCATTGTCTGCGCGTTTCATGCTTTACGGTAGTTTTAAATATTATAGACAGACATGCCCGAGACCCATTTCCAGTTCCTGGACAATTCCATTTTAAGCAAATAGTTGTATTCGCAACTAAAGATGTGCATAAATATGTCGCCTGCTTCTGATATTTACAGTGTCGAATCAAGCAAAGGAAAAGAATGAGAAAAAATGCCTTTCATGTGAATTTAACAAGTGGTTTCGTTAATATGTTCATGTGGCAGCTGTTTGTACCAATTGTATAAGTATTTGGTATGATTCGGCTGGAGATCGAACCCACGACCCCCCGCATCCGAGGCGGACGTTCTAACCACTAGGCCACCGGAGGGGTTGAAGTATCTTGTGCAACCTGACTAAAAAGGTTATCGGTTTCACTTCCCGTCTTATATGTGAACGCTGTTTTTCCAATAATATTTAATATATATTGTTTAAAATTAGTTTCTTTTGCGTTTCTAGTGCTAATGAATGTGACAGAAGGTTCAGCTGTCATATTTACGGGAAGGCCTAATCCAAACAAAACTAAGGAAACGCAAACGGCAGGAGCTTACTCAAAACGACTCAAGAAACAACTTAAGATTATTCAAGATCTTGGAATTCAAAATCACTGGAAACGTCAACAATTTATAGCGCGTTGGAGGAAAGCGTTAAAGAAATACGACATTAAAGGTAATCAGTTTTATTGCTACATTACATAGACAATATTCAAGAACAGGTAACAGTTGCTTGTAAAATTCATGAAATCTTGTAGGGTAGCAAAACGATGCCACATCTAGTCGGTGTAACCATTCCCGTTATTTTGGTTCACTTTCCATTTTGTATTTCTAATATAAATTAAATAGACGCTTAATCTTGGATTCCTTGGAAACTGGTAATGTTCTCTTGTAGATCACATTTTCTTTTTGTTAGAATTAAACATCTAAGTTACACTATGATCAAGTTAGATCAATGTAAATAAAATCTAAGTTTTTCAAATTATTCCGTTTCAGAGAAAAATCTAAAGAATGACAATGGGGCAAAACTCAAGCTGATTGGACAAGCCCACATCAGAATCAAGTCCCTTGAAAAGGAGTTATGGTTCATGGATTCCAACATTCGCGAACTTCGGATAAAACTGGACAGCCAGCGTCTGGAGAACAAGAGGGTGATAGAACGGTACGAACGGGCATACAAGCAGATGCAGAACTTTGAAGGGCAGGACAGTTTACAAATTGAAGTTGCCATTAGTGGTGCCGGGATGGATTGATTCTAAATGCACTCATGAATACACGCACACATGTCAACTTGTATGCAGGGCGATACTGTTTGTTTTTCTTGTGTCTCGCTAAAGTTTTGTCCGTCAGTACATGCAAACCTTTCTGCATGTATGTGCTTGTAGATGTTTTCAAAAATGTTATTTAGTCATATATTTTTATATAATCGTTTAAAAATAATCAGGTTCCACGATTGAAAACAAGCACATGAATAAAGAAAGATATATGAAAGTTGATGTAGACCTGTTCTTGATTTGGTTGCTGGAAGAGGACGAGAAAAGAGTTCTGGTCTTTGATTTTATACACAGTCAATTCCGTAATTATATTTTTTCCTCTAAATGTTGGAACAGGAAACCATTTCCTTGCTTAGTTTTACCTCACATGGTATGGCCCTGCAACCGTTGTCCTTCTTCTTCTTCGGTATCTCTGTCAACAATTGCTTGTTGTCACTATGACGACCATATTTTTTTTATACTGTTTTAATTAAACTTGCAATATAAGCTTATATAGTTAACATATCGGACAAGTTCGCATATGAGAGACATTTGCGCATACAAATAAGGTGATCTTGCATCTGATTTGCTGTTCACTCTGGAGGCAATATTTCTAATCCGATTGTGATGAACTAGGAGTATAGGTTTATATCACCAGTACAGATAAGAATTCTGAATCTAAGCGATATCCACGCATATTAATGATATATGATTGTGCATCCTTTGGCTGTGCTTTTTGTCCATTTGGATATTTAATTTAACTTATAAACTAATTTCGATCAGGTATACAGGCATATATCACGAAGATCCAGGATGAGTTCGATTACGCCCGGAAATACATCCATGCATATCGATAAAGTGATCTTGTTGGCCCAGCTTGTTACCATTCACGGAGCTTCGTTCATGCACCGATTTCGAACAGATTTGGTATGACACATTCTGTAATAAAGATCATAATGAGTTCTATTATGACCAAAATCTATTTGGGTTGAAAAGAGTCATTGATATATCGATACATCGATACTTTTGCTGTAACGATACATATATTGATACAAGTGATGGAGAATCGATACAAAATGATACTTACTGTATGCAAGTTTTTTTTAGTCTTCATCAGTCATGAATAATATCAATTTGCCTTGTTTTCTTTAAATTTAGAATTCATTCGAAGTAACATTTGCAGTCACAGGCACTCATGTTTATTAGCACAAACGAAAAAAACTATTGAGACATCTACAAATAAACAGTGTCATGGTTCGTAATCTGCACACACACACACACACACACACACACACACATACATCCCATGCGTAACGTGTTGTCCCTCTTGGAAAAGAGGGGTGGTTAATTAGATTTGGCTGTCGTTGTCTAGAGGATGACCTCCTTTGAAGTGATGCCCGGTGTGAGTGGATAGATAGAACATCAACAGAGAACTAAGCAAGATTATTGAGAAGAAATAACACAATACGAGCCCTCTTTAGACAAGAAAAAAGTTTAATCAATAACAAAAAGCTAATTGTGTCAAGTTAAATTCAAACAATTTTACGCTAACGTAACTTCAATAGCAGTGTTCTGTTTTGGATTCGTTCATCATGGTAACGAGTGATGAAAATAGCACAATGTTCATGCCTGATTTGCATTACTGGAGTCGCTTCTGTCTTTGTATCTATGTATCACGCGTCCCCCACCTTCACATGTATTTGTTGAGCTTCCTTGATCTTTCTATTCTGAACTCTTCATCTTTTTCCAGATTTCCGTCTTCGGACTGTCCCCGTCTTTTCCTAGGAACTGTTTCCTTGAATAACAATATTACCACTAAATCTCTATATGTAATAACTTCTATACGTATATAAACTTATCTCGTTTTCTTTACTCAGAAAGGATAAATTAGCTATCCAAACACTACATAAATTTTGACATATGTGACCTTAACGATTAATGGTCCTTACAAACTTAGACTGTATTTCGATTAAGGTACAATCGTTATTTCTAGTTACAATAGACCACTGTAGTATACATCCAGGTTTGACCTAATATATGATAGATCATCACTCTCGCTATAAAGCGGCTGACCACAATTTAACATACGAGCGGTGCATATAACATTTCCGTATCGCTGCATACGCTACCACGTGACTTATTAGACCTCCAACCTAGTCAGTTCCACTCAATAAGATAAATACTATCAATTATTATTGCATAAGATTCACTAACTTCTAGCTCATATCAATCACTAACCTACAAGATTATTTAAGCATTACAAAGTCATATATAAATATGCAATTATCGTTAACTCACGATAATCAGTATCGTCCTAACAGACAAAGGAAATTAAATGATACAACCCTATAAAATCACATCTGAAAATTTTGATCTCATGTAATCCATCAATTATATCAATGAACTAGTAAGGGTAAAATTAAAGAAATAAATTGCATAAACAACTCAAAAGATTTCCATAAAATCAAATAAACAATGTATAGCATAAATCCTAGTCATATCAAACACATTTGCATAAAAAAGACATATAAAATAGATAATTACACGAAAATTAAAATTGCGTACGTGTCCCATCACTAACGCATGTATTATCTTACAAAACAGCCACCTGGTCCCTTTTTCTTGCTAAACGTGGAAAGCGCTAATCTTTAGATTTCCGCGGAGTCATCGAGTCTTGTCTCTCGCAGGAAAATCTTGGACTAAAGAATTCAACCAAGGTCGTCACTTTAAATTCACGTCACTTCCAAGGTCTACGCCTTCATTTAAACTGACCAATCGTGATCAGAGGTTCCTAAATTTTCCTCAGGATAATTATTTCTTTCGTGAGATTTAGACAGCCAAAAATCTGAGAAATAGGATGCATATCAACGTCCCTTTGAAATTGACTGTTTGACATGGTATTCCTATCAAGTGGTTATGGTCGTTAGTTTTATTGTTTTCTTGCTCAGGACAGCGTTGCGATGCCCGGATCAATTCTAGATAAGCAGTAGATGCTGGCCGTTTAAGTTTAACACTGATATGTAAAAAAGGTCGAAGTGACCATTCATAAAGACCTTGCTCGCTTGTTTTTAAAAAACATTTTAATGCACAATGAATTCAATTTTAAGATTCCATACTTATTCAAAATTGGACACATTACACCATACTAATTATTTTACGCCAGCAGCATATAGGATACATTCCAAACGTGTTCCACGTGTATAAAAAAATACTTTACACATCATTTAATAATCACTTTTACGCGAAGTTTCCACCTTATTATGCATCTTGTCTACTGTGGTCAATTTAAAAGCTAAACCACCGGTGCGCCACACGGTAAAATATGATATTAAATTCTCGTTGGTAGTTATTGCTTGTTCCGATCCAGGTTAAATAATAATCACTAATCAGAAATTAAATAGATTACTTCCTGCTTGGTAAACAGGGAGTATTGGCAAAGGAACAGAGAAACATCGCTCACATGTCATTAATTGATATGAAAAGTACTTAAAAAGAGATGCTGTCAGGGTGTGCGATTGCGTGTATTGTGCAAAATGTTATGAATTCGCGTCTTTGGAGAACAGTGATGCATAAAAACTCCTGCAAATTGAAAGTCCCAGTAAAGAAAATGTGTTCGGCGAAGTACACAATTTTTATTTAACCGTTCTTGTTGCGGCATCTTTTTTCGGATAGGCAACTGTTCTCAAATCCGAGATCTTTAAGACGATATGAATGGTTGTTAAACTAAATTAAATGGACATATTATGCTTTGAAACAAGCAATATATCGTAGTTTGAGCCTTCTATGAAGGAAGCCTTACAAATGCGTGTTTAAAATACGAGCTACTTAGAAAACCCAAAATGTCGTTCCCGGCGTGGTTCATTTTCAGATTACGATTTCTTTAGGCAAGTACTGGCTGATGATAGTGACGATGATAATAAATTTTGAAGTTATTAATTATATCGGTTATTTTAACTAGGAAAGGGTGAAGGGAGATAGCTGTGAGTGATTTTGAGCTCGAAAATAGTGTCAAATACGAGTCAGATGTACATGTTTAATGGATAAAAATAGATGGCAAGACGGTCAATCTCCCTTTCTGCAGCATT